AGTCTTATCTGTTCAAAACTCTTTATAAAGTGCACTTTAAAGGCATAAATACTGTACAGGGACATGATTAAAAATTAATTCATAAATGCATTGAAAACCTTTTAATCCGTTCCGGAGGTCAGAAAAAAGTAAAGTCTTTTATTTGTTCAAAACTCTTTATAAAGTGCACTTTAAAGGCATAAATACTGTACAGGGACATGATTAAAAATGAATTCATAAATGCATTGAAAATCAATTAATCCGTTCGTATTGCGAAAATAATTAGTAAACAGAGGCATTATTTCCAATGGATTTTCATTCGTAAACCGAAAATTACGTTAACCGAGGCGTTCGTAAACTGAGGTACACCTGTAGTTTCATGTAAGTGCCCTAGCGATGGTGTTCTAACTGCATATATGTTTTATTTCAAAATGATGGGGGGCAGGGGGTTGGGGGAAGGAAGAACCAGAGAAGGCAAAATATAAGCAGATTTTCACCCGGTGATGTGGCCACTGAGACACAACTCTGGAAGGATGAGCACAGGAAGCACAGCAGATAGCAACATTGTCAATCTGGGTGAAGGGTAGTGTTAAAATGTATTATAAGATTTAAATACACTAACATGTTGAAACCAAACTCCAATTTGGCAATCTTTAAAAATGCTTCCTCCCTCCTCCTAACACCCACGCTAAATTGACTGTGTAAGGAAAGGTGCAAATACTTATTTTCAGCCTACTCCGGTCTGGTCATATTATTATTATTATTATTATACATTTATATATATACAGGATTTATATATTATTATTATTATACAGGATTTATTATTATTATTATTATACAGGATTTATATTATTTATTATACAGGATTTATATATTATTATTATTATACAGGATTTATATATATTATTATACAGGATTTATATATTATTATTATACAGGATTATATATTATTATTATTATACAGGATTTATATATTATTATTATTATTATTATTATACAGGATTTATATTATTATTATACAGGATTTATATTATTATTATTATTATACAGGATTTATATTATTATTATACAGGATTTTATATTATTATTATTATATAGGATTTATATATTATACAGGATTATACAGGATTTATATTATTATTATTATACAGGATTATTATTATTATACAGGATTTATATATATTATTATTATTATTATTATTATTATTACAGGATTTATATATTATTATTATACAGGATTTATATATTATATTATTATTATTATACAGGATTTATATGGCGCCAACAGTTTGCTCAGCGCTTTACAATATAATGGGAGACAATACAGCAACAATACAGTTCAATACAAGAGGGTTAGGAGGGCCCTGATCCTTGGAGCTTACAATCTAAGAGATGTGATTCAGCTCTCCTGTGTAAGCCAGGGGCAGCTGCAGGGGAGAGGAGGGAACGCTGACAGCGGATGGCCCATAGGAGTGCTTACTCCTCTCCCCTACAGCCACCACTGGCTGACACAGTGGATCATGTGACCTGAGCAGAGCAGCTCCTAATATGTCCTTAAAATAGGTAATTACTGTAATAACATCTTTATTTCACCGGTTAGTCAGCAAAGGTGTTAGGAGGGGAGAGGGAGTATGTTTAAGACTTGTTAGGTGTAGCCTGGATTTACACCTAATTTATAAATGAAAATATATATATATATATAAAGTGCTAATATACTAAATAACACAAATAAATAAATACTACTGTCCAAAAATTATATCGTCCACAATAAAAAATAAAAAATATTATCAAATAAAATAAACAGAATAGACAAAAATCCTCCAGAAAGAGAGTCCGCAAAAAGGCTTCCAGCCAAATGTAGATCCAGTGATTATGGAGATCGAACCTCAAAAAAAGAGAGAAATCACATAGTGTGATACCATAAAAACGCATCAGGTAATATCAACATCACTGCAAAACGCATGTGAATCACACTAAACCACACGTGCTGACTCAGTGATTCACATGCATTTTGCAGTGATGTTGATATTACCTGATGCGTTTTTATGGTATCACACTATGTGATTTCTCTCTTTTTTTGAGGTTCGATCTCCATAATCACTGGATCTACATTTGGCTGGAAGCCTTTTTGCGGACTGTCTTTCTGGAGGATTTTTGTCTATTCTGTTTATTTTATTTGATTATATTTTAATTTTTATTGTGGACGATATAATTTTTGGACAGTAGTATTTATTTATTAATGTTATTTAGTATATTAGCACTTTATATATATATATATATTTGGATGATACACTTTTTGGGGTGAAAAGTGTTTTGGTGCAATTGGGAAATTATTTAAAGGGTACACCATTCATTTTTTGTTATTTAATTTATAAGATGGTTTGTGTGGCATCTATGCATATTATGTCGGAGTTTGTGGATTTTTTTAATTTAAATACCCGGTGTTTGAAATTTATGAGTCCCTAACCCAGTGCTGTGCCCTTCAGCCGTGGGAGCCCATGCTAGTGCTAGTGTGGCCCTTCTCTTCTACCTTTTTGAGGGCTGGCAGTGCTCTGTGATTTGGTGGATATTTGCTTTCTGCAGGTGAGTACTACATGAGTGTCCTTAACCACTTGCCTACCAGGCACTTATACCCCCTTATTTACCAGGCCAATTTTCAGCGCTGCCGCACTTTGATTGACAATTGCGCGGTCATGCAACATTGTACCCATATGAAATTTTGATCATTTTTTTCTCACAAATAGAGCTTTCTTTTGGTGGTATTTAATCGCCACTGGGCGCTTTACTTTTTGCGCTATAAATAAAAAAAGTGCAACAAATTTGAAAAAAAAAAAGTTTCTTTGTTTCTATTATAAAATTTTTCAAACAGGTAATTTTTTCTCCTTCACTGATGTGTGTTGATGAGGCAGCACTGATGGGCACTGATAGGCGGCACTGATGGGCACTGATAGGCAGCGCTACAGGGCACTGATAGGCAGCACTAATGAGGTGTCACAGATAGGCGGCACTAATATGCAGCACTGATAGGCGGCACTGATAGGTGACACTGATGATGGGTACTGATAGACGGCACTGACTGGCATCACTGCTGGGCACTGACTGGTGGCACTGACTGGCACAACCGCTGGGCACTGACTGGTGGCACTGACTGGCAGCACTGCTGGGCTGCACTGGTGGGTGGCACTGGTGGGCAGCACTGGTGGGTGGGCACAGGTGGGTGGCACTGGTGGGCACAGGTGGGTGGCACTGCTGGGCACAGGTAGGTGGCACTTCTGGGCACAGGTAGGTGGCACTGCAGAGTGGCACAGGTGGGTGATCTGCTGGGCACAGGTGGGCGGAGCTAGTGGGCGCACTGCTGGGCACAGGTGGGCAGAACATGTGGGTGGCACTGCTGGGCACCGATCATCAGGGCACTGATCATTAGTGCCCTGATGATCGGTGCCGATCCTCGCTCTGACAAGTGCTGGTTCTCGGCAGTACTTTCCTCACGATCTGACAGCGTGAGAAAAGTGCAGCTGAGAACCGGCACTTGCATTTCCCTGTGATCAGCGTGTCATTGGACACCGCTGATCACGTGGTAAAAGGCCGCTGTGATTGGCCTTTTACCACATCACGTGATCAGCTGTGTCCGTAGGACACAGCGATCACGGAGATCGCCGGGTGCGCGCCCCCTGGGGCACGCAGGAGAGCGCGCTCTGGGAGGACGTCATATGACGTCCACCCAGAACTGGCCGGCCGCAGTGCAGCCGTCATTCGGCTATCTGCGGTCGGCAACCAGTTAAAGGGTAACTGGTCATAGAAAAACAATTGTCATCCAATCTGCTTTTGGGTGGACTGTTCAACCCCAAATCTCCAAAATATTTAAAGTGATTGTAAAGTATATATATTTTTTTAAAATGTTATTCTTACGTGCTCCATGCAATAGAATTGCACTGAGAGGCCCCACCCCTGGCTCCTCCTCTTCTCAGAGTGCCACAATAGGAAATCGCTTCCTATGGTGGCACACCTTTGGGTTCGATCCAGAACCGCACTGTCTGCATCCATAGACACACACAACTCAACACAGTCCCACCTTACTCCCTTGGCACTGGATTTGACTGACAGCAGCAGGAGCCATTGGCTTAGCAAAGCTTGTGAGAGTGGGAAGAAGAGGAGGGAGCCTCTAGTAATCTGTCTTTATAGACACAGGTTGACATTGGTACTCTGACTGGTCAGGTAAGGTTTTATTTCTAGGTGATGTCACTGGAGGCTGTAGGGGTGAGTGTTTCGGCACGGCTACAGGAGACCGGAGGGAGGACATCACTACCGTCCAATGGCGAAAGGTGGAAAAGGCATAGAGAATGCTGCAGAATGTCCGCGGTAACATTAAAGCCTAGGTTCACCTCTTCAGAGAAAATGACAAAGGAAAACTAACACAGTACACCCTAACCACGCCCCCAAACACCCCCCCCCCCCCCCCAGTCCCTGCTGTACTTACCTCCGTGGGTGATGAGCTGCCCACACAGCTGGTGTAGCGGTCCAGGGATTCTAAATCCTTGCTCCTTCCCCTTCTTTCTGTAGGGATTCAGGGATAGAAAAGAGCATTTCCAACAAAGCCATCACAGGCCAGCGCTGACCAATCCGAATCACTCTGATCTGTCCCAGAAGCCCTACAGAAAGCAGGGGAGAAAAGCAAGGATTTGAAATCCCTGGCCTGCTACAAACCAGAAAACCACTTCACCTGAACTAGACACTGACAGTTCATCACCCATGGAGATAAGTACTGTAGGGACTTGGGGGTAGGTAGTGGGGATTGTGTAGGGCAGGCCTTGAAACTTCCACTCACCTGCTCGCCAATGGCGAGTGGAAATTATGGTGGAGGCGAGTGTGTCCCCCAGGGCCGTCTTGCTGAGCAGGCTCTGAGCTCAGGCTGGATCTGTCATTGCTACTGGGAGCCGTCAGACTGCTCAATAGCTGAGCGCAGTGAAAGCAAAGGAAGGAGTGTGTGCTGTGCTCTCTGCCTCCCCCTAGAGTGCAGTACCCCGCTCTGTGAGTCAACAACGAAGTACTGCAGCTTTTTATAGGGCTGTGTGTGTGCGCGCTTAATTTCAGCTCACTCTGGTCACATGATCCTCTATGTCAGGCAGTGGTGGCTTCAGGCGAGAGGAGAGCACTTAACAGCATGCGTGTGTGTGTGTACATGTATGTGTCTCTGTGTATGCATGTACATGTGTCTGTGTGTATCTGTACATGTGTATGTGTGTGTGTGTACATGTGTGTGTGTGTGCATGTACATTTTGTGTGTATGTATGTACATGTGTCTGTGTGTGCCTGTGTGTGTATATACATGTGCCTGTATGAGTGTGTGTACATGTGTCTCTGTGTGTGTGTACATGTTTCTGTGTGTGTGTGTGTGTGTGTATATGTATGTACATGTCTGTGTGTGCACATGTTTCTGTATCTGTGTATGTACATGTCTGTGTGTGTACATGTTTCTGTGTGTGTGTGTGTATGTACATGTCTGTATGTGTGTGTACCAGTGTTTCTGTTTGTATGTGTACATGTTTCTGTGTGTGTATGTACATGTCTGTGTGTGCACATTTCTTTCTGTGTGTGTGTGTGTGTGTACAGGTGTGTCTGTGTGTGTGTGTGTGTGTGTGTGTGTGTGTGTGTACATGTTTCTGTGTCTGTGTGTATGTACATGTCTGTGTGTGCACATGTTTCTGTATCTGTGTATGTACATGTGTGTATGTACATGTGTGTATGTACATGTGTGTGTGCACATGTTTCTGTGTGTGTATGTACATGTCTGTATGTGTGTGTACCGGTGTCTCTGTATGTGTACATGTTTCTGTGTGTGTATGTACATGTCTGTGTGTGCACGTTTCTGTGTGTGTGTATGTACATGTCTGTGTGTGTGCACATGTTTCTGTGTGTGTGTGTATATGTATGTACATGTCTGTGTGTGTGTTTACAGGTGTCTCTGTTTGTGTGTGTGTACATGTTTGTGTGTATGTATATGTCTGTGTGTGCACGTTTTGTGTGTGTGTGTGTGTGTGTGTGTGTGTACAGGTGTCTCTGTGTGTGTACATGTTTCTGTGTGTGTGTGTGTGTGTGTGTATGTACATGTCTGTGTGCACGTTTCTGTGTGTGTGTGTCTGTGTGTGTGTACAGGTGTCTCTGTTTGTGTGTGTACATGTTTCTGTGTGTGTGTGTGTGTGTGTGTGTGTGTGTGCATGTTTATGTGTGTGTGTGTATGTATATGTCTGTCTGTGTGTGTATGTGTTTGTGTGTGTGTATATGTCTGTGTATGTATGTGTGTGTGTGTGTGTGTGTATGTATGTATATGTCTGTGTGTGCACGTGTGTGTGTGTGTGTGTACAGGTGTCTCTGTTTGTGTGTGTTTGTTGGTGGCGAGTAACTTAAGGCCTGGCTAGTAGCTCAGGACTTGAAATTCTAAGCCCTGGTGTAGGGTGTTAGTTCACATTATATATTTTTTTTTTCTGAAAAGGTGAACTATCCCTTTAAAGCCCGGCTGCTCAACCTGTGTCCTGAGGGTAGCAAGCAGCCCTTTGGTATATGATGCGCAGCCCTTGCAGCAGTCTGTAGTGGGAACATTGATTAGGGTAATAGCATTGGGTAGGGTAATGGCCTCATGCCTCATGTTCCCAGTCTTGTATTGTCTTTTGCGGCATATTCTAAGGCAAAAATGTATCCTGTCCTCACTCCCTGACCCTCATTTCATCTATTAGGTCTGCAGTCTCTGACAGTCCTCACAAATGTTACATACTGTAAATTGAACATTACATGTGGCCCTTTGGTGATGTCAGGGAACCCATTTGAGACCCCCTTTAGCTCATAAGTTGACAACCACTGATTAAACCCTCTGGCTTTATAATATGGCAGATTTGTGTTTTAAGAAAGGGGATAAACGAAATTAAAAATCTTATATATATATAGATGTGTGTGTGTATTTTTAGCTGTTCTACTCTAAGTTATTTGAGCTGTCTATGGCAGGACCACAACACCATTGCTGAATGAAAGTGCCACCTCCTGCCTGAGCCACTCTCTCCATGTCCTGGGCTTGCCTTTCCCTCCTGGGTGCCTGACACCTCCATGGTTGGTATAAGTATAGAGCACAGCAGGGGATCAGCACTCATCCATTCACTGATCTACCCTGTGAAGTATGAACCAGGAAGCGCTGAGATGTGAGAACTTCTGGGTTCAGAGCTGCCTAACCCTGGTCTCTCTGGCAAGGGTAGAAGCTAAGCACAATCTGTTTTTGATCAGGTTCAACAGAGTGCAGAGATGAGATGAGGGGTCTGATAGACTCCTGATGTCTCCTTAAAGAGAACCTGTCACCTGCAATATGTTATCATTTAGGGGGCTTAATAGCCCCCATTGTGATAGCAATAAAGTTGAGTTAAAAAAGGAACCGTATGTGAAAAGCAGTGTCTTGATCTGCACTGTGGCCCTGTGTAGAACCAGAGACAGGGCCCTGTTAGTAGAAACGGAACTTTGCTTTCTTATGTCAGAGTGTCCTCCTGATGACCAATGCTCAACAAGCAGCGGAAAAGGTGGAGGAAGCATAGATCTGCAGAATGAATGAAGCAGAACAGGGACATTTTTTGCACTGCAAGTCCTCAGGTACAACTTCTTCTCCAGCAAGGAGAGCATTGACCAGGACTGTGCTTTTATCACCAACTGTCACTCCAAATCTGGTAAGACAGGCATTCAAAAGTAACAGTGCCTTAGATGATCTCACAATGCAGATATACAGCTATGAGGCCTAAGACTGCCCATAGATGAGTCCCTTTTTTTCATTCAACCATCAGAACACACTGATCAACGCTACAGACTATAGCCTGCAGTGCTGATCAAGCAGGGAAAATCCCACAGGGCGGATGTACAGAAGTCAATTGGTAGATCTGGACTTCTGTACAACCACAATGCCCATACGTGAAGTAAAATTCAGCCGGTCTCTGCTGAACCAGCCAAATTTCAATCTATGTATGGCCAGGATTAAAGTGGATTAAAGGTTTAATGCATTAAGGTAAAAACTTCTGTGTACAGCTCACCTTAGATTGTACACCCCTTGAGGGTTAGGGACCTTAGATTGTACGCCCCTTGAGGGTTAGGGACCTTAGATTGTACGCCCCTTGAGGGTTAGGGACCTTAGATTGTACCCCCCTTGAGGGTTAGGGACCTTAGATTGTACACCCTTTGAGGGTTAGGGACCTTAGATTGTACGCCCCTTGAGGGTTAGGGACCTTAGATTGTACGCCCCTTGAGGGTTAGGGACCTTAGATTGTACACCCCTTGAGGGTTAGGGACCTTAGATTGTACGCCCCTTGAGGGTTAGGGCCCTTAGATTGTATGCCCCTTGAGGGTTAGGGACCTTAGATTGTACACCCCTTGAGGGTTAGGGACCTTAGATTGTACACCCCTTGAGGGTTAGGGACTGATGTGAATGTACAATATATATGTAAAGCGCTGCGTAAATTGACGGCGCTATATAAGTACCTGAAATAAATAAATCTGCCCCCCCCCAGCCCCTCCTTATACTTACCTGAGCCCGATCTTAATCCAGTGATATGCATGAGAGCAGCACTGCTGTCCTCTCTCTCCTCACTGGTTCAGAGACATCAGCTGGAGCCATTGGCTCCTGCTGCTGTCAGTCTCAACCAGTCAGGAGGGAGCAGGGGCGGGGCCGAGCCGCACTGTGTGTATCAATGGACACAGAAGGCAGCCCAGGAGCAAGCCTGCATGAGTGCCCCCATAGCAAGTACCTTGCTATGAGGGCACTCAGCAGGAGGGAGGAACCAGAAGCACTGGTGGGGGACCCAAAAAGAGGAGGATCGGGGCTGCTCTGTGCAAAACCACTGCACAGAAAAAGTAAGTATAGCATGTTTGTTATTTTTAAAACATAAAATTTTACCTTTACAATCACTTTAAGGCAAGGATGTGCACTGTTATCTTTTGGGGGGAATTGAAGACAAATTGCAAATATTTCATGGCACTGCTCAGGCTTTCTAGATGTTCCCTATAACATAGCAAACCTTCAGTGTTTGAGTTTTAGATCTGCTTTAACCACTTCCCGTCCGGCTGTTGTATATTAATGGCCAGACGGTGGCAGTGCAGGGTCAGGTGGCCGTTTATAAATGTCCTCCCCGCACCCTGCTTGTGCGTGCTCCCTGGGAGCGCGCAGCACCATGATCTGGTGCCCACTGTGACACAGTGGAACACCGATCGTCGTACGGAACCTCTGTGCAAGGTCCCGATCATGTGATCACTAATTGGCCAATCAGTGATCACATGAAGAGTAGTAAGCAAGATGTCACTTCTGACATCATTGCTTACTACGTGTGAAATCTGTGAATGATCACAGAGGTCACATGGTACAGGGCTATTCACAACAACCTTGTACCTTGTGACAAGCTGTGACCAATCACAGCTCACTCAGTAGTTCTCAATGGCTGCAACAATGCAGCCAGAGAGGAGAAATGATTGCTTTTACAGCCTTTATGGGTGTAAAAGCAGTCAGTAAAAAAAAAAATCTTCATCACCCCCCACAAGTAGTACAGTGTCACCATGGTGACACTGTACTGCTAGGGTGACAGTATGTTAAAAAAAAAATAAAAAAAAAAAAAAATAAAACTGTAAAAAAAAAATGTTTAAAAATTATAATTTTTGGTTATAAACTAATTTGGGTTATTTTTTTTTTTTACTAAAAAGATAACGGAATAAATTTTGACCAAGATTTATGATGAAATATTATTTATTTGCAAAATTTTATAAGAAAAACACTTTTTTCCTAAATTTTTGGACTTTTTCATTTACATAGCAAAAAAAAATAAAAATCCCAGCGGTGAATAAAACCACCAAAATAAAGCTTTATCTGTCTCAAAAAAATGCTACAAAATTAATATGGGTACAGTGTTGCATGACCGCGCAATTGTCATTCAAAGTGTGATAGCGCTGAAAGCTGAAAATTGGCTTGGACAGGAAGGGGGTAAAAGTGTCCGGACAGGAAGGGGGTAAAAGGTCCGGACTGGAAGGGGGTAAAGTGTCCGGACTGGAAGGGGGTGAAAAGTGTCCGGACTGGAAGGGGGTAAAAGCGTCCGGACTGGAAGGGGGGTAAAAGTGTCCGGACTGGAAGGGGGGTAAAGCGTCCGGACTGGAAGGGGGGGGAAAGCGTCCGGACTGGAAGGGGGGGGCTCCCGGGACTGGAAGGGGGGGGTAAAGCGTCCGGACTGGAAGGGGGTGAAGCGGGGGACAGGAAGGGAGTGAAAAGCGTCCGGGGACTGGAAGGGGGGTGAAAGGGGGGAAGGGGGTGAAAGCGTCCGGACTGGAAGGGGGGGTGAAAGCGTCCGGACAGGAAGGGGGTGAAAGTGTCCGGGGACAGGAAGGGGGGTGAAAGCGTCCGGACAGGAAGGGGGGTGAAAGCGTCCGGACTGGAAGGGGGGTGAAAGCGTCCGGACTGGAAGGGGGGGTGAAAGCGTCCGGACTGGAAGGGGGGGAAAGCGTCCGGACTGGAAGGGGGTGAAAGCGTCCGGGACAGGAAGGGGGTGAAAGCGTCCGGACTGGAAGGGGGTGAAAGCGTCCGGACTGGAAGGGGGGTGAAAGCGTCCGGACTGGAAGGGGGGGAAAGCGTCCGGACTGGAAGGGGGTAAAAGCGTCCGGACTGGAAGGGGGTGAAAGTGTCCGGGGACAGGAAGGGGGGTGAAAGCGTCCGGACAGGAAGGGGGGTGAAAGCGTCCGGACTGGAAGGGGGTGAAAGCGTCCGGACTGGAAGGGGGTGAAAGCGTCCGGACTGGAAGGGGGGAAAGCATCTGGACTGGAAGGGGGTGAAAGCGTCCGGACTGGAAGGGGGGAAAGCGTCCGGATTGGAAGGGGGTGAAAGCGTCCGGACTGGAAGGGGGTGAAAGTGTCCGGACTGGAAGTGGTTAATAAGCTGACGGCTGTAAATCACTGAATAGTCCATCTATGTCAATGACTGGCAATCTGCTTTAATATGTTATATGATGTTTAGTTCCGTTCCTCTACTGTCAGTCTGCTTCTGCCCTTCATTGTTACCTTTCCTTGACGCTGCCCTCCCAGCCCTGGCTGCCCACTGTTCTGCTTCAGTCAGCCTTTCCCTGTTTGTGTCCCAGAAGTGGGAGTGCACCTCCTATTGGTACATCTTTGGCTTTTGCAGGTACATAATGGGGTGGGGTGGGGGGGGGCAGTGACAAGATGAAGGATAAAGATGACAAACTGGCTGAAGCATGCAGAGCGCAAAGACAACATAAGGAAGAAGGATCCTAGACGGGGGAGGGTAGAGCGGAGATGGATGTAAGAGGATAATGCAGAGGAGATAATCTGGACAGCCACTTGGGCCGTGTCTGGTTTCTTGCTGAATAGCCTCTAGGCAGCCATAACCGCTGCTCCTGGTAACTCTGACCTCTTTTCTCTTTCCACAGCGCCTTTCCGGCCTTCACCGAAATAATCATCTTCATTGCTGTGCTTGGATTTAAACAGAAACCACTGTGATTTCATTACACAACCTAATCACTGTTAACGCGATCCACAGGGTACAAGGAGCAAGCTGAATTAGGGCCTGCTCACACTTTTACACTTAGACTCCATTGTGTAACCAAATGCCGGGTCTAAACCTCTTGAAGAGTTCGGTTTTACAGGTTTTCAAAGGTACAGGCCAATGTACATAATTGCTAGCGCACCACGGATCATCACGTGTCATCCTAAAGCTTTACTGAAGAATGATCACAAAGGACATAGTGCAATGTTTCAGGATCATAAGGCAGGTAAAGGGGTCCAGTGCGGCTCCGAAATGTTGCACTATGTCCTTTGTGATGTGATCATTCTTCAATAAAGCTTTTGGATGATGTTTGATGATCCATGATGTGCTGGCAAATATCTACATTGACCTGTGATGTCTCCAATAGGAGCGCTAGCAATGCTGGGTGGGAAATAACAGTCAGAGCCCAAACCAGTTTGCATCACATGACCTGACGAAAGGGCATGCCCCCAAAACAGTCATCGCAATCGTTTCTGATGTCTCCAGTATAGGAGCGCTATCAATGGTGAGTGGGAAATACCAGTCAGAGCCCAAGCCAGTTTGCATCACATGACCTGACGAAGGGGCATGTCTCAAAACAACCATCGCAACCATTTCTGATGTCTCCAGTATAGGAGCGCTATCAATGCTGGTGGGAAATAACAGAGCCCAAACCAGTTTGCATCACATGACCTGACGAAGGGCATGCCCCCAAAACAGTCATTGCAATCGTTTCTGATGTCTCCAGTATAGGAGCGCTATCAATGGTGAGTGGGAAATAACAGTCATAGCCCAAGCCAGTTTGCATCACATGACCTGACGAAGGGGCATGTCCCAAAACAGTCATCGCAATCGTTTCTGATATCTCCAGTATAAGAGCGCTATCAATGGTGAGTGGGAAATAACAGAGCCCAAACCAGTTTGCATCACATGACCTGAATAAGGGGCATGTCTAAAAATAACCATCGCAATCGTTTGTGATGTCTCCAGTAAAGGAGCGCTATCAATGCTGGGTGGGAAATAACAATCAGAGCCCAAGCCAGTTTGCATCACATGACCTGACGAAGGGGCATGCCTCCCAAAACAGTCATCGCAATCGTTTCTGATGTCTCCAGTATAGGAGCCCTATCAATGGTAAGTGGGAAATAACAGAGCCCAAACCAGTTTGCATCACATGACCTGACGAAGGGGCATGTCCCATAACAGTCATCGCAATCGTTTCTGATGTCTCCAGTATAGGAGCGCTATCAATGGTGAGTGGGAAATAACAGTCAGAGCCCAAGCCAGTTTGCATCACATGACCTGACGAAAGGGCATGCCCCCAAAACAGTCATCGCAATCGTTTCTATCTCCAGTATAAGAGCGCTATCAATGGTGAGTGGGAAATAACAGAGCCCAAACCAGTTTGCATCACATGACCTGACGAAGGGGCATGTCTCAAAACAACCATCGCAATCGTTTGTGATGTCTCCAGTATAGGAGCACTATCAATGCTGGGTGGGAAATAACAGTCAGAGCCCAAGCCAGTTTGCATCACATGACCTGACGAAGGGGCATGCCCCAAAACAGTCATCGCAACCAGTAGTATAGTAAAGGTGGAAGTGAGCGCTTTTCCCAATGAGCCGCTGAACACTCAAGATAACCAGAGATCCTTATACAAATGTAAAATAAAACAGTGCAGCGCTAATAGAGGTATAGATTAGAAACAAAATCAATAAAGCAATATAATATATCCAGATGACACAGATAAATATAATAGGGTAAAAAGATATGATCTATTCAATGGTAATACTCCCACAATTTCAAGCTGGTGCTTGTATCTGATATTAATATGAGAAATGCGCACTCACCGGACGTGCACAATAAAAGTGCAAGGTATATATCCAGGTATCAGCAAGTAGTCATCTGGGCTGTAAGAGGTGGAACAGGCTCCCTCTAGGATGGTAGGATCCAGGGACTTAGGTGTTAATATTCCTGGGGTGTCCAGAGTTCCCCTTAAGGGATGAGTGGGTGCAGCTCTCACCGATAGGACAGGGGGCTCCCTTTTCTGGATACAAAAGGCACTGGGCGTCTAAAGAAAAAATGTTCCCCGTATGGGGTCAGAAACAGAAGAATGCTCATAGTGTAGTATGGTTAAAGTAAAAGTAATTTTATTAGCATCGTAAAAAGCGGATACATCCAGGGCAATATAAAATGTGTTAGATATGAACATAGGACTAACCGTCCCTAAAGGAATGGCCGCAGGAGCTCCACAATGCTCCGACGGCGTGACGTCACGGCGTGAGTAGGCTCCTCCTTACGCGTTACGTGCCACGCACATCAGAGGAAGAACCGTTTGTGATGTCTCCAGTATAGGAGTGCTATCAATGCTGGGTGGGAAATAACAGTCAGAGCCCAAGCCAGTTTGCATCACATGACCTGACGAAGGGGCATGCCCCAAACAGTCATTGCAACCGTTTGTGATGTCTCCAGTATAGGAGCGATATCAATGCTGGGTGGGAAATAAGACAGTCAGAGCCCAAACCAGTTTGCATCACATGACCTGACCGTTTGTGAAGGGAGCGATATCATGCCCCAAAAGTTTGCAGCCATCGCAACCGTTTGAATACGCCAGATCTTTCCATATGCGCTCCTTTAGTAGCTCTCCAGTGCCTCCATTCTCCTCACAGTGGAGCTCCTGCTGGTTCTTCCTCCAGCACCGTGACGCCATTTCCGGGTCGTGCAAGTGCATCACTTCCACACTGTGAGTTTGTGTCATCCACTGGTGCCTGTCAATAGTTCCCTGATAAACTGTGCTATGGTTCATTTTCTACCCTTGGGCTCTGAGGGCTCTTGTACACGGGACGTTTGGAGAACACTTCTGAACGCTGGAAATTGACAGCAGGAAAATGCAGGTTAAAAACCGTTCATTTTGCCGCGTTTGCATACCACGTTTAGCCGCGTCTAGCTGCGTTTGCATTCAGCAGCGTTTTTTAAAGATAAGCACAGGAGAGCCTCCCAAATGCCCAGAATGCACTGAAAAGTGGTAAATTATTAACTATTTCAAACTCTTTTAGAGAAATACAGAGAGTAGAAGCAGAGACAACAGTATGTGTTGAGATTAGCTTAGGTGTGAGTTGCTCATTAACATTTTTTTTGTTTCCAAGGGTGGGAAAGGTGTCTGGTGGAGGGAGTCATTAAGGTCACCTGGCAGGGGGTCTTCATGAGGAAGTTGAGGTGTGAATAGTCATTAACATTTCTTTTGTTTCCAAGGGTGGGAAAGGTGTCTGGTGGAGGGAGTCATTAAGGCCAGATGGGGGTGAAGGGGGGTCTTCATGAGGAAGTTGAGGTGTGAATGGTCATTAACATTTCTTTTGTTTCCAAGGGTGGGAAAGGTGTCTGTTGGAGGGAGTCATTAAGGTCACCTGGCAGGGGGTCTTCATGAGGAAGTTGAGGTGTGAATGGTCATTAACATATCTTTTGTTTCCAAGGGTGGGAGAGGGTCTGAGGTGTGAATTGGTCATTACAATGTGTGACAAGCTTGGTAGGAACATCCTGTGTTCAGTGTTTTGTCCATCTGAGCACCTTGAAAACTCTTTACATGCATTTTTCATGATGAAAAAAGGATCTGGACAGCATCGGAACTGGAAGAGTTAAAAAAAATGTTTCAAGCGCATACTCTTATAAACGCGATTTGCAGCGCTTTGCATTTGAAACGCTGATAGAATCAACGTCTGAACGCAAGTTTGTTGTGTTCAAAAAAAACGACTGTACACTCAACTGCTTGTAAACGACGATGTGTACATGGACATATAGAAAACCATTAGGGAGGGTTCAGGGGCTGCTGAAAAAAAAAAAAAAAAAACGCTGAACAGCTCCTAAACGTGAATTTATCAGCTGCAGTGTACATGAGCCCTAAGGCTGTGTTTTTTCCCACCCAGCATTGATAGCGCTCCTATTGTTTTTGGAGAGTTCATGTGAGTTGTTGGAGCAGCCTTTACTCTCACTATATCAATTTGGATTCCTGTCTGAGCTCCTGGCCGTTTGCGTTGAATGTCTCCAGTCTGCAGCTGGCTGTAGCTGCAGCACTCACTACCTCTGAGCCCATTCCAGGAACATGGGAATATTGACATGATTACAAAGGTACAGGTCACACAGAAGTATTTTCATAGAGTAATGCAGTTTCTGGCAAACTTTTTTTTTTTAGTTTTGAATGGAGTGGTGAGGGGTTAGAACCCCGGCCAGATTTTATTGTTGACTGTGTCCCCGTTAAGAAGAATTCTTAACAGGAAAAGTAAAATAGGAGGAAGCTGGTAAATTTTAGGTTGCTACCCGAACAGGAATAGAGAGAAACTCTCCACTTGCTGTAGTGATAACTATCCTAAAAGGACATTTTTCTCACTTTGGAGAGGGACGTGTCCTCCATATCATTTCCTGGTGAGTTTAGTAGCTGTGTTAGTCAAATCAATTTCTGAGTCTCTGAAGTCCCTCAGATTCTGTCACAGACTGTACACAGGGACTCGACTGTCTCAATCAGCAGTAATCTTTACCCCCTCCCAACTCTAAGCCATTACCTGGCAATCATCTGTCAATTTCCAGAGTTTTGGAGGCCAGTGAAGGCTCTGGCATGAGGCACTTGAATGGCAGGTGGTGAGACTTTTTGTGCCAGAAGGAAGTATGGCTTTGTGTTGGCAGGGGCAGAAGTCAAGGCTTGGAAACCAAAGGGGCTGGGAACTCGATGGAAGGAGGGCTTATTTTGGAACTGGGAGCCAGGAGGGCATGGCCGGGAACTGGTCACAGAAATCTAATCAACAAAGCTGAAAACCTCAAAAATCCAACGGATGCCTCATCCAGCCAGCATCGCGTTCATGCCAACACGTTGGATTTAAATTATTTTTCTACCAATGTCTACTTTTGTAAGTTGACTTTTGTATTTTTAAATAAAATGTACGTTTTATATATTATTAAAAGTTAATCTGTTTTAAATGAATTCTCTGTAACATTTTTATACTTGGTTAACATGCAGAAATATATCTGTCCCCTCTCTTTCTCTTACATGGTGCTATTCAGGCAATATTGGATCTCGCATGTCACCAGCCTCAGTAAAGGTGGGTACAGACCAGGGGCGGACTGACCATTTGGAAACTCGGGCACTGCCGAGGGCCCGGGGTCAGTAGGGGGCCCCATGAGATGCCCCTGGTACCCTTTTCATAGGCTTTTTTGAGTTTGGGCAAGGACACGGGCCCCATGATCCCCTAGTGCCCGGGGGCCCCATGAGTTGTCAGTCCACCCCCTGGTACAGACGGCTCAAAATTCAGCCAGTTCGGTGCGGACCAGCCGAATCTCGATCTGTGAGTGGCCCTCGCTTTTTGACAAAAGTCATTCGGTAGATTGACTCTTGTTGAACGGCCACGATAGAAATCTTTCATTCGTTTAGCCTGCTGGCAGAATGAAAAGAAACTAACTATGTATACCCAGTTTAACATAATCTAAGATTTGTTTGGCCTATGTGGGGATCACGCTACGACCTTGGCTTCGTTGGCATTGTGTGCTAACCAACTGAGCTTAACATCCAATACCTGTGGATGTGCCTTGGGTGAATCTGGCAGAAAATTGCACTCGACACACATCCACCATCTCCTGCGCTCAGGGGCTCCGATCAGAGGAAGATAGTTCAAATAGAACGTATGTACATCCAAAACTGATCAAAGGTTGTGCAGCTCTATCACGAAGCTGGGGAAGCTTGATATAGACTGTAGTAGAGAGTAAAAGAAAAGAGCGCACCAACCTTGCGCATTACCTCAGTAAACAGTTAATGAATTTATTAATAAATTATACTCACAAGAGTAGCAGTAAAAAAGGCATATAATATCCATAGCCAATACGGGGTTAACAGTCACGTGCGAGTTCCATCCGGAAGGGAGATACACTCTTGGTCAAGCTAACGCGTTTCGAAGGGTGATCCCTTCTTCATCAGAGCTGGATTTTAGATAGGATTCAGTTCTCATTGATAAGAGGCATTCACCACTAAGTGTTTGGCAAAACTGACAGTAATACTGACACTTAGTGGCTGAATGCCTCTTATCAATTAGAACTGAATCCTATCTAAAATCCAGCTTTGATGAAGAAGGGATCACCCTTCGAAACACGTTAGCTTGATCAAGAGTGTATCTCCCTTCCGGATGGAACTCGCACGTGACTGTTAACCCTGTGTTGGCTATGGATATTATATGCCTTTTTTACTGCTACTCTTGTGAGTATAATTTATTAATAAATTCATTAACTGTTTACTGAGGTAATGCGCAAGGTTGGTGCGCTCTTTTCTTTTACTCTCTACTACAGAAAATTGAACTCCCCAACCTGTAATTCAGATAAAGAGAGAGATCCCCAGCAGGTGATGACACCTGTTCCAGAGTCATATTAAAAAAAAACAGCATTCAGCCATGTGGTGCTAGAACTAGCATTACAGGTGAAACTTGAAAAATTAGAATATGGTGCAAAAGTTCATTTATTTCAGTGCAGCAACTTAAAAGGTGAAACTAATATATGAGACTCATTACATGCAAAGCAAGATAGTTCAAGCCGTGATTTGTCATCATTGTGATGTTTATGGCTTACAGATCATGAAAACCCTAAATCCACAATCTCAGAAAATGAGAATATTCCATGCAATCAATAAAACAAGGATTGTACATAGAACAATATCGGACCTCTGAAAAGTAGAAGCATGCATATATACTCAGTACTTGGTTTGGGCCCCTTTTGCAGCAATTACTGCCTCAATGCGGCGTGGCATGGAAGCTATCAGCCTGTGGCACTGCTGAGGTGTTATGGAAGACCAGGATGCTTCAATAGCGGCCTTCAGCTCTTCTGCATTGTTCGGTCTCATGTCTCTCATCTTTCTCTTGGCAATGCCCCAAAGATTCTCTATGGGGTTCAGGTCAGGCCAGTTTGCTGGCCAATCAAGCACAGTAATCCCACAGTCATTGAACCAGGTTTTGGTGCTTTTGGCAGTGTGGGCAGGTGCCAAGTCCTGCTGGAAAATGAAGTCAGCATCCCCATAAAGCTCGTCTGTGGAAGGAAGCATGAAGTGCTCCAAAATCTCCTGGTAGACGGCTGCGTTGACCCTGGACTTAATGAAGCACAGTGGACCAACACCAGCAGATGACATGGCTCCCCAAATCAACACAGACTGTGGAAACTTCACACTGGACTTCAAGCATCTTGCAGTGTGTGCCTCTCCATTCTTCCTCCATACTCGGGGTCCTTGGGCCTCTCCATTCTTCCTCCATACTCGGGGTCCTTGGGCCTCTCCATTCTTCCTCCATACTCGGGTCTTTGGCCTCTCCGTTCTTCCTCCATACTCGGGGTCCTTGGGCCTCTCCATTCTTCCTCCATACTCGGGGTCCTTGGTTTCCAAATGAGATGCAAAAGTTGCTCTCATCAGAAAAGAGGACTTTGGACCACTGAGCAACAGACCAGGTCTGTTTTTCTTTAGCCCAGGTAAGACACTTCTGACGTTGTTTGTTGTTCAGGAGCGGCTTGACAAGAGGAATACGACATTTGAAGCCCATGTCCAGGATCCGTCTGTGTGTGGTGGCTCTTGATGCACTGACTCCAGCCTCAGTCCACTCCTTGTGAAAGTCCCCAACACTTTTGAATGGCCTTTTCCTGACATTCCTCTCCAGGCTGCGGTCATCCCTGCTGCTTGTGCACCTTTTTCTTCCACACTTTTCCCTTCCACATAACTTTCTATTAATGTGCTTTGATACGGCACTTTGGGAAATTCCAACTTCTTTTGCAATTACCTTTTGAGGCTTTCCCTCCTTATGGAGGGTGTCAATGATGGTTTTTCTGCACAACTGTCAGGTCAGCAGTCTTTCCCATGATTGTGATTCCTATTGAACCCCGACTGAGAGACCATTTATAGGCTCAGGAACCCTTTGCAGGTGTTATGGCTTAATTAGCTGATTAGAGTGGGACACTTTGAGCCGAGAATATTCCACCTTTTCACAATATTCTCATTTTCTGAGATTGTGGATTTGGGGTTTTCATGAGCTGTAAGCCATAATCATCACAATGATGACAAATCACGGCTTGAACTATCTTGCTTTGCATGTAATGAGTCTATCTCATATATTAGTTTCACCTTTTAAGTTGCTGCACTGAAATAAATGAACTTTTGCACGATATTCTAATTTTTCGAGTTTCATCTGTATGTGAAAGTCATGTTGTGTGGCAGTAGTGCTCAAGATTGACTCTAGAATTATTACAGGTACTTATATAGCGCCATCAATTCACGCAGTGCTTTACATATTTATTATGCCTTTACTCCAGTCTCTGCCCTTAAGGGCGTACAATCTAATGCAGGCCATAGACGGGTCGAAAATCGGCGATTTTTTCAGACGATTTTTGCACCGTTAGTGGGTTAATTGGTCGGCCGTTTTTTGGGGTTTTGGCACATTTTTTTTTATCTGTAAAGTTTGAAAAAAAATCGGCTGATTTTGCCGATCGGCTGATTTTCCCGGCAATGG